TAGGTTCAGATTAACTGGGAGACCGCGATTTTGGGTCCGAGTTGGAATGGAGACAGGCAGAGCATGCGTCAACGCAGCTGTGACTACAAACTCTTGCGAGGCGGAGAATGCAAAGCCGCCAAAGTGGGCGCTGGCTTACCCCGAGAGTGCAGATTCTGGCACAGAAATGGCTGGGTGTGACGTGGCATTGACACGCAAAAATCAAACCGCCGGAGTGGGAACAGCTGACGACGCTGCCCAGCGAGTCGGCACCGAGGTTTCCGAAAGAAGCGGTAAGGAAAACGAGTGGAAGGGAATAAGTCATGGCTCTTTGAGAGAAGGTGATCTGGAGAATTGCGAACCCGACGACAACTCAATGGAACGCGTCTGCCAGACGGAGATGGGACGCAAAGTGAAATCGGTCGATGAGCATAAGGAATATAATGCTAAGGTAATAGGCGAGGTTACGAGTGGAAAAATGATTGAAGTGGGGGAGTCAATGCGTGGAATTGGATTATTTTCCCGTTCCTTCCAATTCTGAGTCACCCAATTACATCCTTGCTGTCACACAGAAACGATACACGAAGCGTTTTCACGATGGATGGACGGGAGAGAAAAGATGAAACGATTTCCCCGGGCGGGAATGAGAATGACACGAAGGGCTCTTTCGACGGATCTGACGATGATGAGTTGAGTTTTGACGAGGACGAGACTGTAGATGGTTTTCTGAGTAGTGGGGACAATGCCTCTGCGGGAGGACAGATGATGAGTGAAACCGTCCAAAGGCCAGATGACAATAACACGGACGAAACAAAAACTACTTGGGCTGAATCGTGCCAAGAGATGATGGAAACGACGTGCGAACACAGAATGTCTACGAAAGTATGGGACGAACGTCAAAATCTGCAAGCGAGTAGCAGAGCAGAAGGTTCCTTCAGGTCTTTCAAGCGATGCCAAAAAGGCGAAGTACGAGTTGGATTCGACGACAGAAGGGAAGTGGGGCCTAAACAATAGAAGGCTGCCAACTCTCATAACTTAATTGATCGACGGAAAAGCGTGGACTCATACGGGCAAGCGGAAGTTGACCGGGGCTGGGTTAAATCTGAATGCGAGGTCCCCAAGCAGAGCTGGCGACCACCCGACGATCAGGTGACAGATGAAGACGGAGGAGGTTACTAGACGGTGCCGCAGCAGGACTACAGGCACCTCGTGGACAGATGGAAAGGACAGTAGAAGACTTGAGGTGAGAGATCGGAAGTGTGAAGTTGCCGGATTGCAGTGAGTGAAACTGAAAACTCCTTCTCCCTCTCTACCTTACTAATCTCATCCGCGATACTTATACTTGCTTTAGACATATCTCCACCAGTAGGACGGATAGAAACTGAGTGAAATTTTTGGTAGAACACTTTACTGTTTCGATAGAGGGGTGGAGGCATTTCACAACGCCTTGAAAAATGGGGTGGAGGCAAATCTTTCTTAGACTCTGAGTTGCTTCACTCAAGGTGAAAGTTGCTTCATTTTAACTTGCAAACCACACGTACATAGATCAAACTACAAAAGCTTGCCTTAAAACGCATAAAAACTGCAAAGCTTTTATTGAACCCTGATTGGGCGCAATTTGCTCGGAGTTTCAGTTATAGTATTGCTACTTGCTTTTTTATCTGATTTTAAAAAAATTATTAATTACCAATCAGATTCTGTAAATAAAAGCTGAATATTAAAACAAATGTCTGATTTCACCAGTAAGAACAATATCAGAAAAGCTGGAAAAATTGATATCACAACCTAGCGTATCCAGTGTTCAATCAGTTCTTTTGACACCAGGAGGTAAGAGTAGGATTAAGATGAGTTTTAGACTACAATGACAAAATATCTATGCGGGCAAGAATTGATAGTATAAAAACAGACAGTGTACACAATCAGAAATGAATCTAAAAATAAAATTCATTACCATCTCATTCAGCAGACAATTTTTTGGGTACGATCGTCTCGCCACAGAAAAAAAACGCCTAAAAATTTTGATTCAAGAATTTGTACAGCCAAGATAAACTCACAAAAATAGTTTCGCCATCAAATGACGCAATAAGAGGTGATCAAACTTAAAAAATGCCTGAAATCGTATTGAAAAAAAAAAGCAAAACAAAATTAGAATATACAAAATAATGCTATAAAATGAAAAAAAATCATTATTAAATAAAAATCTCACTTCTGGTAAAACCGCAAAAAAATGTATCTTGGGTATTATAATCGGATAAAAATTATATAGCTAGTATAAACTGGTTATCACAAGCATGGGCGCGACCTCTATTGAAAATGAGCAGAAACCATCATTGTAATTGTTATAATACATAAGCGCGTAACATATCACGCGCAAATTCTATTAGCAATCTTTTTTACTGGAAAACGTCAAGTAACCTTTGCTTGCAATAAACACCCTTGCAAATCTACCAAGTGAATAGCTACCAAAAAAAAACATTTTATCTCCCCCGGTTTAAACTGAGAGTATTTAATTAGGCAGTTCATATTATTGTCCTTATTCTGCAATATGGCGTTTCAGTTTATGGATTACAGTTTAAGCGTTTCAATTTGAAATTAAATTTGTTTAAGAAAACGGTCCGATCCTTTTGAGCACGTTCTAGAAAATTAAACTATTGACTGCTTATAAATACCACGTCTATGAGCTTCTGAAATTTGTTCTCAAATCTGTGAACAACTTACATAGTTACTCTTTTTTGAACAATATATTTTTCTTCAAAATTCACTTTTGCTTTCGGATCCTTTTAGTAAAAAGAAAACTAAAAATTTGATACGGTTGACAGCACGCAACTTGCAAAACAAACTTAAGACCTTGGAATTATTGCTGGTGGGAATTGGAAGCATTTAAGGAAACATCAAAATTTCAAAACCTCATGTTGAATTCAGTAATTCGAATTGTTCAGATACATTTTTTGGTTATGAATAAGGTAAAGGTGACTCTATTGGTTAAATACTGGTGAATGAACATCTAGAGGAGTCAAGATTCTTGTGTGAAAAAATGAGCCTCCAAAACCGTCTATTTTTGAGATGTTTCAATTTTTTGTCTTTTCTCAGTAAATAATTTTTTAAGAATTTTGTTTCTCGATGTTCGTTTTTCTCTCAAGTCAATGGAGTTTCTTTACATATAATGGTCAATACGTAGTCAACCTGTAATTTTTTCTCTTTTTTTTTTGGTAATTTTCAAACTTTGATTTTATGGGTGCAAAGATGCAAAACGTTTTTTTTATTTTTGTATAATGACATGGTTGTGGCAGCTCATTAGTTTGGTCATGATTATGATCGGTAAATAGTTTTTGTATCTGCTCGTCATTTGATGAAATTTAACTTATCAGTCCGAAAAAAAAATAATTTTTGTTACTATTTGATAATTTAGTTTATGGTTACTAAGACGATATTTACTTGCAGTAAAGTAAAGGCGCAGTCGCTTGTTGGATCCCATAGTCCCGTTGTCTGTCTTTTCCAGATTTTGTTGCATAATATGTAATTTGATGCAATATTTTTTCAGCAGAAATAAATTCTTTTTATCTTATGTCATTTCTCACCTTAAGTTGAGAAAACAGGATCTTGAGGTGCGTGAAAAACCCATCAGCTGTTCGTTACATAAAAGTCATCGCTATTCAGCTCATCTCTCATAACCAAGCACAGAAAAAATGAAAGCATATCTAAGCTTTCCCAGATATATTTAACTTTGCGCAAACCTTATATTTCTTATTAAATTGCTTTCATTCGATTAAATACTCACATGAACTAAATTGTCAGCATTGGCCCTATTTGTTTTATCATACAGATTTTTAATGTTTTCCCTGACTTAACAGCTAATTGAGTTAACTGTCCTTGGTCTATCATCTATGCTTCTGATGATACGTGTTAAATTATATATTACGAAGCAAGATGAAGATATTCAAATCATCACAACAAAAAATATGGAAACGTTATCCGACGAAAACAAAAAAACACAAACCAAATATATATCATCAATATCTATATCACCATACATATCATTGTATGCTATCACCAAATAGGATGCATACCACCATTGGACCATCGATGGTTGAAACTAGAGTGACTACTGTTTAACAGATTTTCTCAATGGACAGAAGCATACTTACAAAGACAGGCACAGTCAAAGAATCGAAACCAGCGGGTTATCTGCATTTATTACGGGATCTCTATTTACGCGATAATGAAAGTTAAAAGTGATTTTTGGAAACTGGGTTTTTAGGTGTTTGGGGGAAATTGAATTTAGTTATTTTTCAGTTTAAAATCTTCGAACAAAAAAATGAAACCATAATTTAGCTAAGTTTTGCTGAACCGAATTTGATTGCTCACGAGAGACCACTTGAGGGCAAACTGCCTACTTGTCAGCATCTCAAGTCTCGCTTGTGAAAGTCTCCATACGTTTCGCATATCTGTTTTTTTCAGACTTGAAATAAAAATTATTGAGTTTTTTAATTGCAATTTGATTTGGTAAACACTTCATGCAACCATCCGACAGGAAGATACTAAGGTGTATGGTGCTTTTTTAAAACAATTTTGACAACCTCAAGGAAAGCTGGCAGGAGGTCAAGTACGGTATTATGATAAAACCCCTTAGCAGTGACTTTTGTTCTAGAAAAAAAAACGAACAAATTGTCGAGAAAAATTGATCTGAGGTGTTTCGCTTTTCAGGCCAAACTTAAGTTGACACTGGATTTAATATCAGACTAAACGACACCGACTCATTTTTGATTCATGTGTAAACAGTCAATTTGATTTAACTAATTTGTCGTTCTAGTTTTATCGCCTAAACTCGTGGCCCTCATTTATTTCCTTTTAACTACTTTACTTAAAAAGTGTTGGTCGGAACTTTCTTTGCTACTTGCATAGGAAATGATTACCTTAGTTTCTTCTTTGTCTAATTATTTGTTCCGTGGTTTTCTCCCTTAAAAATCTCCTTTGCTCAATTGTGCTTCCATGTACATGGTTCAACTGATTATGACCAAAAGTGATATTAAAATAGCTGAATTTAAAAAATAACTGCCAAATTCATAGAATAGGAATATTAAAGAAGAACTCAATCGACAGACGAGAGGAGAAAAAGAGCAGCAAGTAAAAGATACATTTATGCGCAAACAGATGCTGAGTTTAATCAGAATTGAGTGAGAGCAGAGGGAACACGCAGCTACGGACACCGCCGTCACACACAACCAACAGTGTAGTAGTGGGAGGAGGAGGAAGAGGGACAGGATAGGACGGACGATGATGGTGGTGATTGGTGATGGAGTGGCGGAGGGAGGGAGACTCACACTGCTGCTGTCAAGGAGTCATTGCACTGCTCAGTAAACAATCAAAAACAAACAAGAATGCTAAACTACTTCTGTACTTCTGCTGCTGAGGGAGGACGAGACCGAGGACAATTGCGAGTGTGATCCTCCTGCTTCTTTCTCTTCTACTTCTACTTCTACTACTACTAACATTCACATCATTCCTCTTCACTCTCTCTCCTCTCTGTCCACCGAGTGAGTAGTGGAAGAGAAGAGGAATGAAAGAATGGATGAATGATGCGGCTGGGGTTTTCTGTCTGCACAGCAGTGGGTCCTTGTTGTAAGATGCTGAATAAATTAGAGCCAACAAGTAGGCTTCTCCTCTCCCCCTCCACCTTTCCTCCCTTGCCCCTATTGATGTTGGTCCATGCTCTCCCCCTGTCCCACTGTGGCTGCTGCTACTGTCGTGTCTGAGGTGATCTGACTGTTACTGTTCGAAAGGGGCGAGTGGGTGGGGGCGAACTTGGCCACTTCTTCGAAGATGAGTCGCTTCAGCTCCTCCTTGCTCATCTCGTCTATGCCCGCCTCAAAACTCAGCAGACTGGGATGAGGAAACACTGGCTCATCGTTCGGGTCATAGTACTGGCTCAGGTAGGGGTGTGCCAGTGCTTGTTCTACTGTTGACCTCCTGAAAAAGAGAATAAATCCGCGTAATAATCTTCATTGAACCAATTCGACACAATTATAAATATCGACTCTATTTTCTTCCATGTGCAATAAAAACCATGTTTATGGGAATGTGAGTGGTTTTACACTTGCACGTGTGTTTGATTGTCTAACTTACTTGTGTGGTCCGAATGTGAGCAGCTGTTCTATGAAGTTCATGCAGTTGATGTCCACAGAGCCCCCTGCTGTTGTTGTTGCTGATGCTGCTGCACAGATGTCATGCCACTGTCTCTTGGGCTTGTGTTGCAAATTCTCCACCCAGTTCCGAGCATTTCTGTTACACACAGCACCAACATTAAGCAATGATGAAGACCACATTCCGTCGCAAACAAAGCCGGTAGACAGTTCAATGAACGCAAGAAGAAGAAAAAGACACCAATGTTCTCAGAATTTTTTTCGGATTTCAAATAAAAAACACATGGCCTTAAAGCTTATTTGATCAAACAAACTCCAATTGAGAAAATTAGACCAATAGTTGAATGTTTTCAGATTTTTGGCACCAAAAAACTGTCAATACAGAGGCGAAGCTGCGCACACACTAGTGAGAAAATGAAAAAAAGCAGCTCTAAAGTGAATTAGGAAAAAGCTCGAACTATGACAATTTTTGCCACCTGTCATATTCGAACCTGCTTCCTCGATATTTGGAGTATCACACCCTTCTATCTCAGCCAGGGACACCTAACGATACGCCAACACTAGCCACAAAGCAGAGAACAGATGCTATGAAACTTCAACAGATCGTGCTTATAGCAAAAGTGCCACTAAATGAGCAATGTTATTTGAGAGTTGAGTTGGAAAAAAAGAGTTATTAATAGATACTGTAGCTAGCTTGCTCGAGTAAACATCGCGTGTCACATATTCGTCGATTTATAATTACAAATGATCAAAGGAAATGGACTGCTCGATATAAATAGATTAAAATAGAATGTCCGAAGACTATCAATCAATTCACGTTCGCAACTGCTGTAAAAAAACTGTCATCTAAAATCTAGCTGCCACCTAACTGATGAGTGAAATAAAAATGCTGACTGAACTGAAGTCCCGAAAGAGTAACTCTCAGGACCTCATGGACTATGTCATGGGTCTCATAGAAGAAAAACCTAATGACAAACAGCGAGGCAGCACAGGGTGAGAAGGCAGTACTTTTTGCGTCGAAGAAACCAAAAATGTTGTTGAAAAGGAAGCTGTTGACTAATATAAATGATCAATCTTTAACCCGCGATGCTTAAATATATCATTTAAAAGTCACGATGAACTACAGCACTTATTAATTAATTACTTCAAGTCACTACCACAAATATTAAGTCTAACCGAAACTTGCGTGTTAATTGATGATGACCCGAAATGCTTTGAAATACTTGGTTAACTAACATACTCAACAAACCGAAAACTTCTAGAGGTGGAGTGTCATGGTTCAATGTACAAATAAATGTTAAAAAAATATAGATTAACTATCGTCGCCTATTGACGAGTGCATCAGAATTTTGTTGAAATATCAAGAATAAACCTGTTTAATCGTGGCGTCTTATTCGCCGAGATCCACTTAATTCGTTTTTTTGATAACCTGGAGAAAAAAACTACCTGAAATAAAAAGAACTAAAAACGAACATTTCAAAAATGACTTCATTAAAAAAAAATTTCAGCTAGATATCTAGAAATAGGGTAAACTAATGGTTTTGATCATTTTATTGGAGAATCTAGATTTGCTAGCCATAATGATATCTTGCTCGATCACACTCTCACCAGAAACTTGAAAATAGTGAACGCCTCAAATCTTACAAACATGCACAGATCACTATCTAATTTTGCTCAAATTTTCGGCAATGTAAAGAATTTTGATTTTGGCGAAACACAATTAGTAAAATCAGCTGTACAATTTGAGAAAATCAATTTCCAACTGACAGAGTAGCTCAATAAAAATGAAGTCAACCCCAAACCTGTATCCGATTCAATAGAAGTATCTCAGAATGAACACAAGACGTCTAGAAACATTTGCACCACTTGTCAAACCAAATTCTTGGTTCTCAAATTATATTATAAATCTCATCTCCAAAAGAAATCGAGATCATCAGATATGGTCTCGAGACCAAAATTACCAAGCAGTGAATTCAATTTATAAATTTAAGACGTAAGCCGCAGATAATCGTAAGCTTTAGAAAAACTACTACCATAAAAAGTTATGTTATCTTTAAGTGACTCGAGGCTCACATACAAAAAAATGAATGAACTAAAAGGAACCAATGCCGCAAAGAAAAACATCTGCTCAAAACTTCAAGTTAAACGTGAAATCACTTCCTCCGAAAATGAGACAGCGTTGAAAATTATTTTTAATTTTTTTTTGTAAATGCGGGGGTTTTAATTAGTTAGTAATATACCAAGTGTAAACGGTTGTTTTATAATGATTGTAGCAGAAATCTTCATATGTTTACCTAAAATTGGTGTACTAGACTTGGAAAAAAGCATCTCAAAATTAAAGCCAGGCATCCTCAGGTATTTGAAAAAAATCGGCTAGTTGTCAAAGCAAGTACATTCTCAGTTCCGCCACTATTGACTGTTTTGAGTATTAGATCAATCGGAAGTGATGGACTTCCTGAAATTCTGACAGAGGCCTTCAGTCTGCCATTTTTCAAAGCAGGCTCTAAGTTGGATGAAAGTAACTATCTACCCGTTGCTCTTTTACCAGCATGGAGGAAAATATTTGAACGTTGCATGTGCAAGAGAGTTAAGATATCTTGCATCGAATTTGCAGTTATACGTTAGCCAGTTTGTCTTTTGAGAAAACATAGCAATATTGATACAATAGCAGTAGAGAAGCCGAGAGGAAAAATTGTACAATTTTCTTGAGCAAAGTTTTGACGACTTGAGCAAAGTTTTGACGACTTAAAAAAAGTACGGTCATATACAAGAATAAATTATAAGCTATCCGAAACACCGCAATCAAATAGTACAATTAGGAGCCTGTCAACCACGCTGGCTGAAAACTGAATGTGACGTAATACTACTAGATTTCACTCAGGATTTTAGCTTTTATCATCTAGATTAGAGATCTTTCGAAAGCATGTACACAACGCAGGAAAAAAAATTTGGTTGCGGATGATACGAATACAACAGGTATCTTTCACTTAACAGAAGTATTCATTAAAGATTTCACCGCAGTCAGCGATTTAGTTAACGTCAAGAAACTTCCACTAAAATTAGATAAAAACGTATTAGGTTCATATTGCATCCAAAAGCGCTTCCAGGTGTAATCTTAAAATAACTATGAACTTAAGTTTCCGAATCTGGTAAGCATTAACGCGTACATAGACTCAAATTTGATGTTTTTGACTCATATAGACTCTGTAATTACTTATTGCGAAAAAAGTTTGGTACAATATCAAAAAGGAGACATTGTTCCTAAGCATAATCTTCGAACCAAAAATTCAAAACGGAATCCTTGTATGGAGGCACGAGTTATAGCTCGCTGCTACTTTAGACCTGTTACAAAAACAGTCTCGCGATATAATTTTTCAAACGAAGTTCTGGAAGTATTAAGATTGATTTTCAGAAGGCGAATAAATTAACTGTTCTTTAACTAAATATTTACGAATTATTTAAGTTTTTTACAATCATTTTCGGGTATTTACGGCAAAAACTTTCGGAAAAATCTTTTTCGGTACGATGATTCGACATACAAAATGGGCAGAGCTACCAAGAACTTGATCAAATTCCCACATTTACGACGAAACTTAAACGTGCATCTCAGAGCTATTGAGATGCAAAAATACTTAACATTTTGAAAGAGAACAATGTCTTCCGTCAAAACGTACTATCCTTTTCGCATCTCTAAATCGAAAAAATCGCCTTTATATTGAGACCTTTATATTTTGAATCAAGAAGACCTGGTCCGACTGATTTTTCAGTACATCAAAGAGATTTTTGACAAAAGTTTTCTAGTAACGACAACCCAACCGCCAGTGCCTATGCCATCTCATTGATGTGATCGCGGAATTCTAAAACAACAGACTCTGTCCAAGTTTAGGTGACTGATTAAAATCCCAAATAAACACAGCATTCATTCAGCCTTAAACAAATACAGAGGCGAAGCTGAGATTCGCACCATTTAAGAAACATAGCAACCACATTGTGATAAAATTGGAAAAACGCCAAAAAAATCACCCGAAACATCAAAATGAAACTCAAACCTTTGGCGGGAGATAAAAAACAGCATTGAACTAGCATATAAAGTTACCGAGAGGTAAGTATGCAGACGAAACAGGGACAAATGCTACTAAACATCAAAATGTTGGTTTTTTAAAAGCAGAAAATGTTGAAACTTGTGCTTTTCTGTCAAAATTCGATGTGCCATTAATTTGAATCGATCAGCATGCAGAAACTTCCTGACATCACGAGTAATTACGACGAAAAAATGATCTGAACAAAGTCCCAAAAAACAAAAAACTATCCGACAGAAGAAGGCTGCTGGCAAAAAACTGTCATTTTATTTTTTTTCGCTATTATCAAGTTTTGGTAGGTATAAAATCAAAACACCTAAATCACATTACTTCCTAAAACTGAATTGCAAATGAAGAAAAAAACACTAAAGAGAAGAAGAGAAAATATTAAGCGTACTAGAAACAAATAGCGCAAACACTCTAAAGGTAGTTTGAGATCGGATAGCAATTAAAACCTTTTTAAACCAAGAGAATATATCGATCTGCAAAAATCAAGGCTAGAAAGCACTTGAAGTAAATTAAAAATCAATTGACAAAAAAATTGATTGAAAAATACATCAAGAAAATTGCGAATAAATTCATGTCTTTAATTAACTTTTCGACAAAAAGAATATGATAAGAACAGCAGGTCATTCAACAACAATTGAGCAAAAGATCCTAACAAAATTTTATGAATAGAGAAAAAAATCTCGATAAAAAATTTCAAAAAAAATAAGACAAACTTTTTCATGATTTTTTTCCTATGTTTTTCGAAGAAGGTCGGAGAAGCGATTTCAAACTTCCAAACATACCTTATTAAAGTTGAATTAATATTAAAAAACGACTGGAAACAATTTTAAAAAAACATTAGGCAAATAAGCCGCCAGAACTAATAACAATTGAACATGGGAAAATAGTAATGAACGCAAATAAACATTTAAAAAAACTTTGTTGAAAAAGCCTCACCTTTCAAAGAAAAAAGGAATGCCCTTTAAACTATTTGAATTTCATGAACGATTTATGACTGGCGCTTTTTTGATAACATTAACACAACTTGAGAAAACACTGGATCAACAGGTAAAGTTTTTATTCCGCTGGAAATCTAAAAATTAAATTCAATTTTCGAAACTAAAAATAGTTCACGAAGTTTTGTGCCATTTGCACGTTCGTCTTTGGAGAGTGCTATTCACGTCACTTTCAGCAGATGAATTTCCATTGAACTCAAAAAAGCATATATACCAAAGTGCTTCAATATTTTAAGACTTTTTCCTGAAAAAAAAAACAAACCAAAAATCAGCAAGACCTTTTTATAAGAGTCTTCACTACGTTCATTACTCTTAAAAAGATTAAAAGGGTAATAATAAAAAATGAAGGAGAGTCTATAAGGCTCGCTAGGGAAGAAATCTCGCAAGCGTTATTTAGAACTTTTCCTGACATCCATGTAGAATTTTCAGGTTTCCGTCCCAGGCTAAAACTAACAAACAAAAATTTTTGCTTTTTTATCAGAAGTTCGGTTAAAAAAATAAACCCATCCTCCATGTTGTAAAACTGAGATTAAAACATCAAGCATGTTATCCTCATGGACTAGCAAGCTGTCCTCTCTGGTCCACTATATATTTATAAAGTTTGTTCAAACGAATCTGATGTCAAATTTATACCAGATAATTTAATTCTTTTTCTACCGAGAAGCGAACTTGCATTCTGACCATTTGGAGTACAGAACGCTTATTCATTTTTTCCAACTGGAACGCGGCTTTAAAATAGACCTCGCTAATTTCTTATTAATGAGTATCATTATTAATTTCGGCACAACGGCAAGAGGGAATTGCTTGTTGCTTACCTGTTGGTGATGTGGTCCAGGTCATCTGAAGAAGGGGTTCCGAGGACGTCGAGGATGAGGTCCAGTTGGTCCAGGTAGTGGCGACCGGGGAAGAGGGGTCTCTTGATGATCATCTCCACCAGAATGCAGCCCACAGACCACACGTCTATCGCTTTCGTGTACCTCAAAACACACACCCACATACATGCAAATCATCTACGGCTTCATTTAATGGACTCGACAGTCAGAGAAAGCAAGCATCAGCAATGGATTACAACTGAAAAGTCTTTTTTGCTTCTAATACATCTGGATTGCTCTCATGAACACTTCATGTAGCAAAAGATTGAGAAAATGGACATGGCTAAAAATTAGCAACAAAGGAAAAAATCCAGCAAAACGTTGTCAAACTTTTCTCCTTAAAAAATCGCTGATTGGCTCTTTCATAAGCGGTCCTAAAAACAGCTAATGCAATTTAACTAACTGAGAGTCGTCCGAACTGTTCAAGGTTGAATTTGTGACGAAAGACAAAACCAAGTTTGTTATAAATCTGGAGCTTACGCAAAAATTCCAGCAATCGCGCAGAATATGATACATCAAATTGCTATCTCGTTATCATATCATCTAACATCAACCCATGCAAAAGCGGTATTAGAGTATTGTTGCCCACCTGATAACGTGAGCTATAGGTTACATATAGAAAACAATGCATGACAGTAGAGCAGCAGCTGCAGCACTCACTGTTTGCTGTTGAGCATGACTTCTGGGGCCCTGTACCAGCGGGTGGCCACGTACTCTGTGAGGAAGCCAGTTTGGCTACCAGTGTCGTCCTGTGGCTCCGCTATGCGTGCCAGACCGAAGTCGCAGATGCGCAGGTCACAGGAGGTATTGACGAGGAGGTTGCTGGGCTTGAGGTCCCTATGGATGACATTGGCCGAGTGGATGTACTTGAGACCCCGCAGCATCTGGTACACAAAGTAGCAAATGTGGTCCCCAGACAGAGACTGAGTCCTAAACACATCCCATCACAACAACTGCACTACACACAACCATTCATGCATCTACACAATACAAGTCATTGTAACTGCTCAAAAGACAAATAAAATGCGCATACAAAATGTATAGAAATAATGTCCTAAGCCATATGCTATTGCAATACTTGATCGATACATGTTTACTTCTCACAAGAAGGGCTTAATAGGAGCAGCTACGGATAACAGGGCGGGTGTTTGAACGGCTTTCTGTCCTTCCGGAATTCGACTTCTTCCTCGCCAAAGGTTTAATACTTTCACTTTGTTTTACAACATCCATTTTGGTCGACTAGAGAAAGCACGCGCTACGAAAAAAACTTTTTTAAGTCCTTGGAAAAGTGCCCAGATAACTAGATCAATATGTGCCTATGAGCTGTTGAAACCAGCAGAAACTCTAGTCCCGCTGCCTCTCATTGAGGGGCTATTTGAAGAAAGCGTGCTGTGCTTACTTCATCAACTTGAACATGTCTGTCTCCATGAGCTCCTGCACTATGTACACGTCCTTCAGGTCATGCCAGTTGTCTGTGCAGGGATACGCAAACAGATTGTCAATGGCGATGATGTTCTCGTGCTGGAAAGTTGTCAGTATTTTGATCTCTCGCAAAGTCCGCAAGCAATATGTCTGGTGCTCAAACGGACTACACAAAAACATAAATCATAGTTAACTTCAATTCAAGAATTGAGCCGTTTTAATACAAAATACACAGACAGACAGTTGCAAGTGTCAACCAACGCAAGGAAACTGCAAATTATGACTGACTTGTTAACGAAAATACCAGCTTTCAACTTTCCAAGAATAAAATACCTGGCCTCAAAACACTTTTGAATTTCAAGAACAACTTATGATCGGCCCTTTACTGATAAAACTTACCCAATTTGAGAAAACTGGATCAATAGGGAATTTTTTTATTCCGCTTGGAAATCTGATTATTAAAATTAAAATCAGGGGCGGATGTAGGAGTTTCTCGAGGGGGACGGATTTTCGAAAAACTTGTGCCGAACTTTTTTTAAATAGGCCAAAACAGGCGTTTTGACCAAAAATTGCTGCTTTGCGCCGCACGCTCTCCCCTAAAAATAATTTACATGGGAACCAAGAGCGCATTTTGAAAAATTTGAGGGTCCAGTCAGCCAAAAAGGAGGTCTTAAAATTGCACTAAAGAGGTGAACCTTTTTGTGGTCAGAAGGTCGGACTCCTGAGGTGGAGGGGCGTCCCCTCTAAATTCGCTTCTCTAAAATTGAGAGCGCAAAGTCCCTTCCTTTGAGCAAATCAATTTGAAAAGCGAGATATTGCTTTCTTAAAAACCACATTGCTAAAAACTAAAATAGCGCAAATGTAATGTATTCTCCTGAAAAAAATCATCATAACCTAAACAAGTTTCTTCACTAAGTTCATAGACACATGAAAAATTCGCAAAAAAGTTTACGCGTGAATCAGAACTAAAAACTGAAACGCCAAGATTTTTAACACAATATCAAAACAAAAAACTAACCGAAAATATTTCAAAAAACGAATAGCCATGATTCTGAGAATTTTTTTTCAACCGGATAGATCTAAATTAAAGCCAGTGATGTCAAAGTGCAAACTTAGGTTTATAAGTGCTTGAAGTTTTAGTCAAAATCAAGTTATTGCCTTCAAAGAATTAAAAAAAAAAGAAACAAGGAGCTATTTTTATTCACTTTAAAATTTTGAAATGGAAAACCGATGTTCAAAGAAAGTTTGACGAGTTTTTCAGAGCATCGGTGGCAATTAAGCATTAAACAACCACTTAGTTTCTTGCGAAGTGGGTGTTCAATACTTAATTGCCACCGATGTGCTAAAAGAAATGAAACACTCGTCAAACATCCCTTGCCCATTGCTTTACTATTTGATCATCCGTTTTCCATTTTTTGGAACAAAAAAAAAACGAAACAACCATTTTTCAAAAATCGAAATGGACAAATTTATCGAAACAATTTTTAAAACAGCAAAAAAAAACTAAAATTTCATTTGATGAGCGGAAACTAAGTCGAAAACACTTGAACCGAAAGAAAAGCGGAGAAAAATCTAACGAAAACAATGAGTTATTTCAGTCTATGAACTGACTTAAAGAACATCTTACTATTTTAAAACCGATCTACTAGAGTTAAAACCGAATTATTTAACTCCCGCTTACTAGACTTCAAATTATTATTTCTGGCACCTACATCATTTCTGGCACCTACATTTTAACAGTTTCTACTCGCAAAAAAATACATTCGAAGTATGGAATTCTAATTGAACCCTGCATTACTAAACGACAAGAAGGCTAACAGTTTTCGTAGGCACTCGAGAACAAATCTGTTCAGTTAAAATGCTAGTAAGTAAACAAGGTTGCTAATGTCAAGCGAATTCATCGTTAGAGACCGTTAACTCATGTTTAAAATATAATCACCTCTCAAAATGTATTCATTCAATTTAGAACTAACTGGCCCACTGCAGCTAAAGCTGCTATTGCAGAATGACAACGTTCATCTTTAACGGAAAAAAGTTTCAATGAATTGATGGATAGTTGGTTGAAAGTATGGCTGGTTGAATAGATGGCTGAATGGGTTGATGAATGGATGAATGTATGTAAGATAGGTTGGACGGATGAACGATGGATGGCTGATTGAGATGAGTGAATCATAGGATACATCGCATAGGATACATAGCTTGATGGATGGAAGCCTTGATGGATTGAAGGCAGAATGGAAGGTTGGATAGATGGATGAACGCATGGATATCTCTCTAGACGGCTATTTGGACGAATGAAATACTTACTGGATTGAAGATTGACTGATTAGATATACGACTGACTTGACTGATGATAGGTGGAAGGGTGGCTAGATCAATTATCAATAGTTGGATGAATGACTGGCTGGATGCATTGATGGGTATAAGTATGGATGCTTAGTTGGTCTAATGGCTGGATGGATTCATGACTGACTGGATGGATGGATCGCTGCTTGAATGTAGGGACGGCAAATTGGATGATAGGCCAAGCGGATGGATGGCTTGTTGGATGGAGATATGGCTAGTTGGATGGATAGCCAGGTCGATGATGGATGGATAAATGGGTGACTGAAGAGATGCATGGGTGACAAGGTGAATGTATGGCTTGGATGGCAGGACGGATGGATATCTAGATGCAACGATGGATAGATCAATGATCAATGGCTGGGTGGTGACTAGCTAAAGACGTGGATGGAATGCCAGATGAAACACGTTTTGTTGAGATGGGTGGAAGGCTAGATTGATAGATGAAAGGCTGGATGAAAAATAGGACGGATGAACGACTAGATAGATGGATGGCTAGGCGATCTCATGACTTCACCGATGGAAGAAAGGATGGCTGGTTGGATAGCCGAAGGTCTAGATGTTTTGACGGCTGGTTGGATCAATCGTTGATGGCTAGATGAACTGTGAATTGATTATGAATGGAGCGCCGCTTGGATGGACGAATGGGAGCATGAGAGGCAAGGCGGGTGGAGGAATTGATGAATGAATAGATGGCATGTTGATGAACGAAAGGATGGCTGGCTGGAATAGTGGTTGGCTTGAGTGATAACATGATCGATAGATGACTGCTTGGAGGATGAATGGATGGGCGAATAAATGTGTTCGAAGTACTCTTCTATATGGCTGCGAGTCTTGGCCTGTGAAAGTTTCAGATGTGGACAAGCTTAAATTCTTCGAAAATCGATGTGTCAAATATATAGCCTCGAGAAACCGACTTGTGCCCTCATATGCGGTAAGAATAATTTTGAAGCTCGAAACTAGTATAACAGACTAAAACACGAAGTCTCAAACAGTTGGGCACTGTTTTGCGAATGAGAGAAGACGAAATTCCCAATGCCGCTCTCGAATTTATAAAAGCAGATTCGTGGAAACGAGCACCAGATGGCGCAAATTCTTACTAGGTTCGCAACTTCGTCAAATACGACCAGAACAAAAAGCCACCAAGTATGTCCGCCAAGAGATTGGATGAGTGCTGATTTGACATCTGCAGAGAGAGCGCGCTGGACCGAGAACAAAGGCATGGTAACGTTCTGGATGTTCAGAAGGCGGGCAATGGACAGTGATGTATGCAAACGCCCTTCAAGTGACATCGTTAGAAGGATGGACAGGTGGAGATATTGATATATGCATGGGTGGCAGAGTGGATGAACGAATGGATCGGTGATGGCTGGTTGGGATGATGGATGGCTTTAGTGATAACTGGATCCATGCATGGCTGGTTAAATGGATGAATGGTTGGTTGGATGGTTTTATGGCTGGATGCATTGATGGGTATAAGTATGGATGCTTAGTTGGTCTAATGGCTGGATGGATTCATGACTGACTGGATGGATGGATCGCTGCTTGAATGGAGGGACGGCAAATTGGATGATAGGCCAAGCGGATGGATGGCTTGTTGGATGGAGATATGGCTAGTTGGATGGATAGCCAGGTCGATGATGGATGGATAAATGGGTGACTGAAGAGATGCATGGGTGACAAGGCGAATGTATGGCTTGGATGGCAGGACGGATGGATATCTAGATGCAACGATGGATAGATCAATGATCAATGGCTGGGTGGTGACTAGCTAAAGACGTGGATGGAATGCCAGATGAAACACGTTTTGTTGAGATGGGTGGAAGGCTAGATTGATAGATGAAAGGCTGGATGAAAAATAGGACGGATGAACGACTAGATAGATGGATGGCTAGGCGATCTCATGACTTCACCGATGGAAGAAAGGATGGCTGGTTGGATAGCCGAAGGTCTAGATGTTTTGACGGCTGGTTGGATCAATCGTTGATGGCTAGATGAACTGTGAATTGATTATGAATGGAGCGCCGCTTGGATGGACGAATGGGAGCATGAGAGGCAAGGCGGGTGGAGGAATTGATGAACGAATAGATGGCATGTTGATGAACGAAAGGATGGCTGGCTGGAATAGTGGTTGGCTTGAGTGATAACATGATCGATAGATGACTGCTTGGAGGATGAATGGATGGGCGAATAAATGTATTCGAAGTACTCTTCTATATGGCTGCGAGTCTTGGCCTGTGAAAGTTTCAGATGTGGACAAGCTTAAATTCTTCGAAAATCGATGTGTCAAATATATAGCCTCGAGAAACCGACTTGTGCCCTCATATGCGGTAAGAATAATTTTGAAGCTCGAAACTTCGAAAATCGATGTGTCAAATATATAGCCTCGAGAAACCGACTTGTGCCCTCATATGCGGTAAGAATAATTTTGAAGCTCGAAACTAGTATAACAGACTAAAACACGAAGTCTCAAACAGTTGGGCAATGTTTTGCGAATGAGAGAAGACGAAATTCCCAATACCGCTCTCGAATTTATAAAAGCAGATTCGTGGAAACGAGCACCAGATGGCGCAAATTCTTACTAGGTTCGCAACTTCGTCAAATACGACCAGAACAAAAAGCCACCAAGTATGTCCGCCAAGAGATTGGATGAGTGCTGATTTGACATCTGCAGAGAGAGCGCGCTGGACCGAGAACAAAGGCATGGTAACGTTCTGGATGTTCAGAAGGCGGGCAATGGACAGTGATGTATGCAAACGCCCTTCAAGTGACATCGTTAGAAGGATGGACAGGTGGAGATATTGATATATGCATGGGTGGCAG